CCATATCTAAAGCAGGACTTGGTTTTTTTTTATTTATCAAATGTCGCAGTCTCACTCCGAGCAATCACACCAAGAGAACGATAGGGGCTAAAAATAGAAACAGCTCTAAGCTGGACTCTGGATGTGAATGTCAGTTCTATTTCTAAGGAACATGGCGTCATCTGTGAGGATGTGCTTTATGAGCAGATGCCTGCAGATTTGAATCCTATTTTCTAGTTGTTGAAGCTTTATTTTAATCAGATGAAGTGACTCTGATCACCCTGAGCTTAGCCAAGAGGCACCAGGAGCAGCACATCCACACAGCTCCATGTACTGTTAAAAAAATGTAAGAACTTCAGTATGTTCTTAATCTGATTCAAGACTCATCCATTTTTTTTTACTTATTTTATTTCATAACTTCAAACCACAGCTGTTTTTTTTTTTATATAAGATCACTTTAATGTGACACTAAACTGAAAAGTTAAAAATAAATAAAATAAATTATGGCTAAATGTCCCTGATGATGACCTTAGAAGTCTGTTGGAGAGCATTAGTGATCGATGAAGATAAATGCAGGGCTATAAAGGGCTATGAAGTCAGAATTATAACAAACGAACACATGCATGGTAAATAAGACTACGAGACCCCAATATGTCAAGTCCATGCTCCTTCTCTTGCTTTTTATCTGCCTGTAGATTCTCTCTTACTCTCATTTGGACCTGTTTTTATGTGGCTCATGATAAATTTTGTCTCTTTGAGGGAAGAGCCAAGAAGAGAAAGTAAACTGCCTGTGATTGGCTGCTTTTCAGGAAACCAGCCTTTTAAAACAGTACTGAATTTCTCCTGGTTGCGGCCAGTAATATTCGCAAAGCATATTTAGGCTAATAGCTGTTCTCTTCAATAGTTTAATTCTGACTTCATATCCAAAAGCCTCGCTGTAATCACAGTTTTTTAAAAACAATGTTTAAATGAAAGGAAAACTGTTTAACAGCAGCTGAAGACAGATTAGAAATATAAATGTTTGTGCTCAGCTATAAACAACAGTTCATACAAGCCTCACTTTTCTTAATATAAACAGTGAAACATCAGCTTAGCTCATATGACGCTCCCAATTTAACATGAATCATTTCAGAGCATATTGCTGCTGCTGTCAGAACACATTCATGACTATTGAATTATTTAATGATGTCTTTAATTAACCAATTTTTAGCTCTTAAGAAAACAACAGTTAGCATAAAGACACTTTACTAACATTACAAGCCACATCTTACATAAGGATACTTTATTGTTTCTTTTAATTTTTCATTTTCTTTTAGATATTGTCCTTTTGATATCTCTATAAATGCTTAAATTTTCTACATGTGGGACAGACTGGCAACCTGTCCTGCAGGCGATAGGCACCGATGTAGGTACCAGATCTGCTCGGGGCCCTGTCCTTTCTTATGTCGTCATGATATGATAAGGTGACCAGATTTCTGCAATCTAATCTGGGGACATTTCCAGCTCATAGATAAAAATAAATACATTTTATGAAAACTAAAATAGGAAACAGGGACATTGATGTTTTCATCCATTTTTACATATTTATTAATATTTAAACAAAAAATCAAGTGTAAAATCCAGGAATGCAGCTCCTCCATTTCCTAAGATAAATAATATGAATCAATCAATAGTGTTTATTAGTGCCATCTGGTCATTCAGTCTATGTCTTCTTCCCTTGTGAGCAACATAACATTGTGTTCAGGCCAGTTTGCATCAATACAGAGTCTGGGGCAATTTTCCTCCTTTTCCATTCCAAAAAATTAAATTGAAACTTTTTTATATATATCTGCAAATTGAAAAACATATTTTATTTCTACATAATAAAAACTGTAAAATTAAATGGCCTCCAGTTGTTTATACTGTATCCTGGACAGCTGCAGTGCATTGGGTAGCCTCCAGCAGCCTGTATTAAAATCTGTGTCACCATTAAAAAAGTTACATTAGATTTTTATATTCAGATTAAATTACAACCATTAAAAGCATCTATAACTCTGGATCATTCTCATGAGCAGCTTGAAGCAGCCACACCAGAAATAAAGTTTTGTCATTACACTATAGATGAATGAAAAATAATCTCTCAGGGTCAGCATAAAAATAATGTGTCCTTTAATAAAGTTATAGTGAAACCTAATGGAAATATATATTTAAACAATCCTAAAACTATTCATTCATGTGTACTTAGATAAAGCTGTGCTTTTTGTTTTAAAGAAGCTGTTATTATTTTGATAGGATGTAAATGTTAAGATTATATGATCCTATTATACCTGTTACAAAAATCCACAACAAAAATAAAATATGGGGGCAGAAACTGAACATATGCTGGATGCTGATTTTTGTAATATTTCATATTAAATTAAGCGTTTACTTCCCCATGTTTTGCTCCTATAGTATAGTATAGTCAAGTGAACTTGACTATACTATTGTTTACTTTATTGTTTACTAAAGTATACTTTAAGTATACTTTAGTAAACTTAAAAATGTCCCAATTTAGTTCGAAGAAGTATTACTTTAGTAATACTTCAGGTACACTAAAGTACATTGTCCGGGTATACTTTCTAAACTTATACTTATACTTAGGTATTCTTAATAGAATTTACTTCAAGTATACTACTTTTTACTAAGGGTATGATATAGCAATGCCACTCGGACAAAATATATAGGCTAGAACCGGTTTCCTAAGAATAATATTTAAACTAGAGTCTCAACATATTATTACCCATATTTGCTGTTATTTTACGTTTCATCTGTGATCTAAAGTAGCCAAAACAATCATTCTTTTTTAAAGAAAAGCACTGCCTTTTAAGACAGACTGAGCTATGTTATTTAAGGCGACACAACAAGCCTCAGAGCTTCCTTTAATTAAGATCTGAGGGCAAAGGAGGACAAATGGAAACCCTTAAAAATGACTTTTGTTGAGTATTTAGACAAAGAAAACAGTTTTTCTACTTGTAGAGTATGGAAAGTTGTGGTTGACACAAAGTTAAAAGCTGTGTAGCTTAATATGGCTAACTGACAAAGCTAAAAGATGCTAACCTGTTAGCTACTGAGCACAGCTAGCTACAATGCTACCCAGTTCTCCCTCTTTATATCATGGTCTAATAGTTACTTTGTTCACCATAAAAAGATTTTTTCATCTTTGTTATCAATCAAGAATTGAAGAATAAATTTCATCAGTCATTAGACACGCTAACATTACAGATGCTCATGTGGCAATATTCAGCCAATCATATAGAGTAACATCACTGGAATGCGCGGGGCCTGAACAGATCTGGTATTAACACTGGCCGCACCTCGACCCTGACGGGATAAGCGGGAGAATATTGATGGATGGATGATCTACATGATTAATATGATGAAATGCTCTATAAATGATTAAACAACAAGAGCAACTGAATAAAATACAATTTCAAGCATAGCCCACTGGTGAGTTGCTGCTGTGTTTTCAGAAGAGGGGACCCCATTAGTCCTTGAGGGCCCATTGATGGCTGCAGGCACAGCATTGGTGACCCCTGGTTTAAGACTATGTGACTGGTCGTAGGTAATATAAAGTTTCCGTGAAACTAATATCATCACTGACATGAAGATTGAAGTTTGACTTTTTTTTCCCTTCAGCTTCTACATTTTAAAAATGTATTTTAGCCTTAATTGGTTTTTCTTTAAAGTTTGAATAATATTTTTCGGTTTCAAAATCTTTTATCTCAGTTTTACTTAATTTTTCATTATAAAAAATAAAAGTTTTAAACAAACTTTATCCCTACAATTTAGTTCCATAAAGGCTCTCCCTTCTACAACTGAATCGACCAATCACAGCACAGGAAGTGGGAGTTAAAGCCCTGCTGCAAACTGTAACCACAAAGTCAACAATGCAGCTAAAAGGGATTTTAATGATGCCCTTTATTATGCATTGGATTAGCTGGGTAATCCTTATAATTTCAAAAGCTGGCTGATGGAAGTGCTTTTATTTTAATAAAAGATGTTTTTGTGTCACATCTGTAGTTATCTGATTGGTTGTAACCCGTCTTTGCTGACTCTGTTAGTCTCAACCTTGATATCCTCTATCAAAATGGATATCTTATTGAGAATTTGTGAAGACAACTAAAACATTTTGTTCATGGATCTATATATTCACCACTCATTCTGACTGAGCTTGAGATGCTTTGGAAAGAAAACTGGGAAGGAAAACATCTTAGTGTGGGAAGCTTATCCTAAAAGACCTACAGCCATAAATGCAGAATGAATGAGTTGACAAGAGACAAAATGAACGAAGTAAAAACTTTTAATGGGTGCTATGTGTGGGGATTAAACAGGGATCTTTGTATTTAAGCAGCCCTCCAGAGGAATATAAAATAGAAATGAGTGTGCATATTAGTGGAGAAGTTAATGAAAGTTTAGTTTATGAATCCACAGATGGACTCATGAGGGAGCCTAATTGTCCCAGATTCAAGGCAGAAATAATCTTATTGTAAGAAAGAAAAAAGTTAACTTTGAAGAAACCAAAATTAATCTTGTGAATTAAATGGATTGTGGACATGAGGTTCATTCCTTTTGTTTAATCATTCAGTTCGGAGGTAACGACATGAGGGCCGAGGTTCCGCCCCAAGAAAAAATATTAGCTCATCTTAACTTTTCATCACAAAGTAAATCACTGAACAAGACAAATGCTTATAATTTAATTTCAGCTGTTTTATCCTTTAGTAAAACTTTATTTAATTTGATAAAACCACTTTTTATGATGAACTGAACTAATTAGATAAAAATGTATTAAAACTTTGTTTGGCTTTTGGGCTTTAAAAGTGCTGCATCAGGGAAGAAATATACTGTTCTAAGCTTTTCTATTGATTATGCTTCAATCTGTTATGCGGTGGGTCATAAATCAGAAACCAAAGGAAGGCTCCAGAGAATCTGAGCTTCTGGCCCACGCTGGGTTAGACAGAGCCCTACCTGTATACAGTGTGGAGATAACCAGCTGAGACACTCACCCTAAAGAACTCCTTAGTGGAGCCTGAGTCTAGAGTGCCGTAGGCGATCTCCGTCTGCTTAGCCAGGTCCTCGGCGCTCTCAATCGGAGAGACCATCCTCTCCACAGTAAGGAAGGCAGCCAGGTTGGCCGTGTAGGAAGAGATGATGATGAGGGTGAAGAACCACCACACTCCCCCGACAATACGGCCGGACAGAGACCTGGGATGAGGAGGAGGAGGAAGAAGGAGAGAAGCAGACACAGACATGAGAGCAGGGTGCTCAGATCGACATGTGGAGGAGGAAGGGATCCCTTCCTATTGTGTCTGCCTCACTACAGAGATTAATCGCTTGGTGAGAATGATATAAAGCTTCATTAACTGAATGTGACTGTATCTGAAAGTAGTTTAGAAGTTTTAGAAGGTTTGAAATCATCCTGAATAGTCAGGAAGCCGAGGAGAATAACAACCTGAATCGAGTGGCCTGACCTCTGCTGTCATGCTTCCTGTGACTCCAAGATATAAAAACAGGAATATATTTTCTGATTTTCAATTAAGATGAGAGACAAGTTATTGTCTTTGGACCAGAGCCTTTGTAAAAGAAGCTAATTATTCAGTAATTACATCCTGATGGCATTAAATGGCGCTTCTATAATAATGTAAAAAAGCATTGGTGATATTTTTGATCCAGACTTAGACATATAAGCTTCATATTAAACAGGTTTAAAGAATTTCTGGTGGCTCTGGTTATCCTGAGCTATGTCTATAGTTTTGCTGTTATAGGCCTACACTGCTGGAGGACATAGGGACCACATTTTATAACTCTTCTTTATTCCACTTTTATTCTCTAATTTTGCATCATTTGTAAGTTGTTCTTTCTTTTTCTTAGTACTAAGTACTAAAAAAATGTACTAAATGTGCAGTGTTGTTGTTGCATGTGATGGTACAATATTATTTAAAACTTATTTAATCTAATTGAACTATCCGAGGGTTAGTCCCTTTAAGAGTTGGTGTTAATCCACAGAGTTTAATTGAAGCAACGCTGTTAGCTGTTAATTTTAAGATCAACACTTTGCAGCTAGAAGTTGTGGTGAAGGTTGCAGGAGTACGTCCTACAACCGGAGGGTCACTAGTTTAAATCCCAGCTCAGTCCATCTCAGTTGTTATGTCCTTGGGCCAGACACTTCACACACATTGGCACTGATGGGGCTCAGAGGGCCAAGTGGTGCCTGTGTACATCAGCCTGGCTTCTGTCAGTAGGCAACATTTCAGCCTTTGTTTCTCCATCTGAGGCAAACTACTGATAGTGTTGAATTCTTATTTGTCTGACAGAACTCAATCTGCTTCGACTGTTATGCTGATTTATGAGTTTATAAGCCTATGACTTTTGAATATGGATCTAGTTTGTCCAAAATGGAGGTCTGTGTTTCAGCTGTTAGAAATTGGTTTTCAGATAAGTTCCTGTTCCTAAACTCAGCAAAGACAGAGATGATGATCAGAAACTGCACCTTCTGTTTGATGTATTTGTTTTCTGTTGACACACCAGTTTTAAAATGTACAGACAATATTTAAAACCTTGGTGTTATATGTAATCACACAACTTTAAAGGTGAAGTTGACTATTTTCCTTTTCTGGGTGGATCATCAAAATAAGTGGTCCTCCTAATTGTCCATCATCCTGGTGATATATTTAGGTAAGGCCGTCCTACGTGTTTGTCCCACATTTTCACTTACTGGTGGTGAGTCTGACATACCGGAAAAATTACAAATCTTGTATAAGCGATGCAAACAGCCACTTTTAAACAGAGTGTGCATGAGGAGAAATGGGCTCATGCACGTTCTTGCACGTATTTAATAGGTGTTCCCTCTCAGGAGCGGGTACAGGGTTGTGCTTGTGCATTTTTTTTTTAAGTGGAAAGGGTGGGTCTGTAAAAAAATTCACAAAAATTAACCACTATACATTGAATTTGATACTTATACAGAGAGTTTGAGAAAACAAACTTAAGCCAATTATGCTCACAGCACGATATCACATACTTTCTGGTCTGTGCTGTTCTTAAAATAAATTTTTTTTGTCACATATTTGTAAGAATAAAAATACAGAGTTCCAGGTTGACCATTTACCTTTTGCATGACTCTGTTGCTCTTGATAAGATAAACATATCTGTACAGGACAAATGACCTTAGCCACCTGTACTGGTTCATAAGATGTAATATTTGACCAATCTGATTATTTACAGTTTGAAACAATTGAAAAGGTAGCTCTATATGAGATACATCTATGTTGGAAACTCAAGCAAATGAAGTGACTGGCGGACAGATGAATGAATGTGTGGCGAACTGGATGAAAATGAGGTTCTGTAATATAATTAATCACACAAAATACTTAATATGCGCCAAGATGATGACCGTAAAATGAGACATGCAGCAAAAACACGGTAGCCCTCCAAGAATCGTGAGGAAGTCCAGCTGTTACTTTGCATAAATCTCAATGACCCCAGTGCATTTTACAGCCCTCAGCATGGTGGATAGAAGTTATTTTGTGGACAGCGGGCATCACTGCCAGCATGCAGCTTCAGAACAGATGAGTGAGCAGAAGAGGAGGGATTCTTGCTCTGAGAAATGGGAGGAAGGGGCGATGGAGTGGAGCATGAGGTTAAGTGGGCAGCAGAAACAACAAAGCTCAAAATAACCCATATGCACCACTGCAGGATGGAAAAGCATGTATGGGACTATAAAATGCAAAGAGATGATATGATTAGGCACCTGGAGGGGGTGGTGGTGGAGAATGAGCACAACAACCAACCTTGGTGAGATATCGCATCCTTGCTGCATGAAGGCACCCAGGGAGAACCACAGGCTATTAAAAATCCCAAAGTCGTTTGGAGGGTCAGGGGGGCTCTGAGGGTCTTTGGCCTCATCGTTCTCATCCAAGTGCCACTCATAAGGGCTGAAGCGGCTCACCAGGAAGAGCACCACGCTCACGCCGATATAGGCGAAAACTATGCACATCCAGATCTCATAGGCCAGAGGGTCCAGGAAGGAAAACACTCCTGGCTTAGACTTTTGAGGCTTCTTTATCATAATAGAGATTCCCAAACTCATGAAGGGTTTCGAGAAGTCTATCACTTCTTCCCGCACCAAAGTTATGGTGAGAGGAGCCACGGCTATATCAGCTCTCTGTAAACATGAAAGCAGGCAGGGGTTAGTCTTACAGGAATAACCATAAAAAACATCAAGCAAGGCTATAAATATTAAACACTTCAAAGAAATATCGATTAAATGCAAAACCAAACCAACACAGCTTTGCAATGCATTTCTGGAGTAAAAAGGCCTGAAGAAATGCACCTATTAAGCATATATTGAACAGCAGACGTGTTAAAAAGCCGGTTGGAGCAAAGGGGCCATTTGGAAATGAGTCTCTCAGCATTTGTGTTGCTAAATGTCTTTGTCTCAATCCAAATTTCTGTCATGAATCAAAGCGAGAGTCAGAAAACAGAGGAGGGAGCTGATGCAAGCAGTTCATAAATCCTCCAGCTTGCCTGAAAGATACTCTGCAATGCCTCACAGACATGCAATTAGTATTAGAGACCGCGGTGACAGATGTTGAACGCAAAGTCAGTCAAAAAGCTGTGTTCCGGCGTTCATTCATCAGCTAGGGAGCTGATTAACATCAACACAAATGTAGAGGCCTTCTTACAGCCATTTCAGTTACAACAGGGCGGCATGTCTGTAGATCTAATCCAACGAAAACTCACACGGAAACATATGCAGAGTCTGCAGACACATATCGCAAATTCTGCAGTGACATTCCATGCATGTCTTTTTCACTCTCCTTCTCTGAGTTAGATTTCCAACATTACTCATTCAGCAGCTGAGGTCTCATAAAAGATGCATATCGTCCTTTTGGAGCCAGGTTCAATTGCAAATATCCCTGAGCTGCATGATAAAAACAGTACCATAGGTTTAAGATACAAAGCTCAAAAAGGCTTCAAATAGAAAGTTGGTCGCAGAGAAAAAGGAATGCACTTTTACAAACCTTTTCACACATCAAATATGCTAACTTCTTTTAATTTATTGGTCCATCTTCCACCACAAAGTGACCATGAGTCATGATGTTTACGCAAATACAGAGTTTTCTCACTGCATACCATATCATGATAAATACTATTAGTAATAGAAGGCAGGGTGCCTTATGGTGAAGATAAAATAGGGAAAAGCTCCAATCTTCATTTTCCAACCAGTACAGCCTGATTGAAAGTCAGAGCTGCTCTTCTGAGGATGAAGCTGCACTACTTTACCTGCAAACAGCGTGGATGTAAAAGGAAAACGTTTTTTGCATAACTCACCTCAGTACAGATCGCAACAACTCTCATACTCCTTTAAAGTTTTTCACATTTGTAACACTAACAGATACTTTAATGCTTTTTATTTTGTTCTCCGAGGCGTATTTTTAAATATCTAGACTGACATTTTTAGGTTTTTCTATTATTGTTCTAAAGCAAAACTCAACTCAACATTTAGTGAATTTTGCTCCATTACTCTTACAAGCAAAGATATTTTGTGTTTAAAATAAAATAAGAAATGAAAGTTTTAAGAGTAAGTTTGCCATTTCCTTTTAACATTTTTTTCACGTTCTATTTTTTTTTAATCCTGTTTGTTTTTCAAACTTTTTTTGCAAATCATATTTCATATATTTTCAAATTAAATGTCTTTGTATTTTTTTTTTTACCAGGTTGAGTCTTATGAATTACATTCTTTTCAATATTTATTAGTCATCACTCCAGCAGAACTATAAATCCTACTGTTTAAAACAATCATGTAGGGCCGTGCAGTGGACAGAGCATAGGACCCATGTACGGAGGCCTTAGTCATCGACACGACCGACCCGGGTTCCAATCCGGTCTGTGGTCCTTTGCCGCATGTCTCTCCCCCTCTTATACAGTACCTGCTTTCCTGTCAGCCTACTGTAAAAAAAAAAAAAAAACATGAGCCACCGCAAACCCCCCCCCAAAAAAAAACTATTACGTAGAAGTTAGATAATCAAACTAAGTTTTTACTCTACTAAAAATACACATTTCAAAACTATTTAAAGTTTAAAAATAAAAGTAATAGAAAAAAATAGGAAAATTTTTTAAGGTGCTTTAAACTTTTTAGTGGTTACTGCACTACCCTATTAAAGAAACATTTTTCTACAATTTCAGATGATAACTTCCTTAGACTTCATTTCCTTAGTTTTATAACTAATGATAACAGTGTCAAATTTTACTTTGCAATATCTTGAAAACCTTTTTGGTATGTGGTAAACAACAATTTGGGGCTTACCGAGTCAAATGAAACAAAACTAAAGAGTCTATTTTTAGTAAAGTGGGTGACAGTGGCGTTAGATGTAGGAGTTTGCCCTGAAATCGAAGGATTGATGGTTCAAACCCCGACTTCGACTTTCAGTGTCGTTGTGTCCTTGGGCAAGACACTTCACCTGCATTGTCTACTGATGGTGGCGCCAGGGCTTCTGTCAGTGAGCCCCAGGGCAGCTGTGGCTACAATGTAGCTTGCCACCATCAGTCTGTGCGTGAATGGGTGCTTTGGTCAAGTCTTCTGGCTTGAATAAGGCGCTATATCAGTACAGGCCATTTACCATTTTTTAAAGTAGAGATTATTGCAAAAAGAACACATTTCTTTCTAAGTAAGGTAACAAAATATTTGTACTTTGTTACTTGACACCTCTGCTCTTGACCGATAAAAATTTTGCTAACACCTATTAGACAACTGATTGCACTTGAGTTTTTCTAATGGTTAACTTGGGTTTTAACGGTTTTAAAATCAACTTTATTTCTTTGTTCTGTAAAATAAAATGCGATGGGTGTAAATATAAATGTAAGTATGGTTTATGAAACCAAAGAACATGTCATGAAACCACTGAACTGAATCTCCAAGTGTATGTCATCTTTGCATTGTATCTGTTTGGTTTGATTTGGATTTAAAGAATTGTTGAATCAATCAGTTGGGCTGAAACTTACCCCATAAACCAGTTCGCCCACCATCCCGTTCCAAGTCTTGGTTTCCGGGTCTCTGGCTCCATATTTTCCATCAGGCACTATGGACAGCTTATATCTAATGCCCACATGCTTTGCAATTTCAGAAGCTAAATCGACACAGTAGCCTTCATATCTGTCATTGCCGTCCATCTGCATATAGTTTTTCTTGTACATCACATATGGAGCTTCCTGTTAATTAGACATGGTTTTAAGTTCAAGTTGAAAGCAAGAAGCATGTCCACAGTGGTCAGACTTCATGGGTCACACGGGGGTGTAAAGCCATACTGAAGCACGCAGACATGCAAGGCAAGCGAAGAAAAACCAATGTTGGGCACATTAGAAAAAGAAAATAACACATCTCTGATGTTTCACTGGAGGACAGGGGATGAATGAGCAAGCAGGAGGAGGAAATGGGTTGTTAGCCTTGGTCATGCTACCTTTGTCCATCCAAGTGAGTGGAACCTCTGATTGGATAAAGGTTTGCATGTAGTTTGCATCTGTGCTACACAGGACAAGCTTAATGGAGCACATTTCCAGTTCATAAAGTAACCGTCAGTGACATCAAAGATACCCAAGTTGAATTTACTAGTAACCACTTGTGATTACATTCACTAAGAGAAGATGGCCGTTGTTCTGCTTGTTGCCTTAATTATATTGTTTAAAAGACACACATCACCTCTGCTTTTTAGACTCCAAGAAAAAAATCTTATCATTTTTATTTTTTACCCTGGACTGTAAAACATGTCAGCCATAAAAGATGAATTAATGTCACCTTGAAGTATTAATCAACAGGGTTTTAGTTTTTCATGTGGCATGTACATGTTTTCCAGAGTTTTATCTGAGTGAAAACAATTACCGTATGTTTCACATGAAGTAACATGAAAGAATCATCTTTCATTGAACACATTTTAATGTTGTTAAAGGAAAATGAAGTCAATGAGATGACTGTGAGGTGTCTAAAATAACGACTGCCTTTGTTTAAATCAAAAGCATGCCTGACAGACAATAATGCAATGGCACTACACTGCTGTACACTTTTCCTCTCTCTCTCTGAATAGCACTTCCACTTGGGCTGAGATGACAATGAGTTTTCAGAAGCTGAAATGGGAATGTATGACTACTGCATTCTGAATTTGCCTAAGATGTAGACATAATAGACAAAGTCAGAAGGAACGACAGAGCCATGGTTTTAAATGTACGATAAGGCGTACCTTATCGTACATTTAAAAATGGCAGATGATTTCTAACCTGGGGCAAATCTCCCTAGCGCTGAGTCTAATCCTGATCCTGGACTATGTCAGAGAAAGCTCCTACGCCGTGCTTTACCTATGGCGCATTTCAGAGCTATGTTAAAACCACCGTCACTGACAGATTACTTAATGAGAGGGAAAGAGTTTTACTTACGTACGCACTGAATGTGAATAAGATGAGGTTTATCTTTATGGTTATCTTTACCAAAGCCGTTATTGTGACGTCACTACTACAACAGCCCACTGTAATATAAAAAAACCAAAATGCTTTGGCACCCACACGGATACAGTTGAAACACTCTTTGTGAATCGACTGTTTCAACATGTAGTGAGTGGATGGAAAGCAACTGAAAAGTAAAATAATTCTACCCTCCCAGGACAGATTGCAACAATGGACACCTTGACCTTGAGTGGCAGAAATCTTATGGTGAAACATTTAGAACCTGTTTTGAAAGTGAGTACCATAATAGTAGTGACCACAATTGTTCGGTTTTCCACAGAAGAGGACTCGTTGGTGACCTGCTGATCCATAATATATACAAATTTTTCGTACTCATTCCAGTAGCCGATCTGAAAAATGACACAGAGAGTTCACGGTTATCACAGGAAGTGGAAAAGACATTTTGCAGAAGGCATGGGCCGGTTCCCTGTATAAGACGGCTTTTTTAACCTTAAAAAGCCTAAAAAAATCCAAAACATTGGTGTAAACGTTGAGGAAACACTGTGTCGTCGCCTCAACGTTTACACCATTAAAACGCAGTAAAATAAAAAATAGCTCTACTTATATTAGCCTTCCTGTGTTTCAGTTCCAGCCCAAGTGGACCTAACTGCATCATCAACCCAGCATGCACTGCACAGGTGAAAAATGGCGACCTCCATGGGGGCAAAATATAGCAAAGCATATATAATTTTTGTAAGTAAGTTTTTTACATGGCATGCAGATACCCTTTGCAGGTAATAGGAAAATCCCAATGGATTCCTTTAAAGCTAAATTGTCTGAACTTGTGAAAAATTGAGTGCTTTATTAATTAAGTGATTTAAAAATTATTTCTGGTCGCAAAAAGGCAGTCACGATGCGGAAACTAAATATATGCAGCTCGACACTCCTGCTTAATCTGACAAATTAGCAAAGCGTTTGATTTAACAACCAGTCACAGTCAGACACAGCTTTAAATTGCGCACCTTTAATTCCACCCTATTGTAAATTGAAATCTTGTTTTTTTTTTATATATTTAAAGCTCAAAACTCTAAAAATAGATAAAAATGCTCAGTGAGTAAACCCAAGCAAGCATATATTCATCCGCCAAATTAATCAGAAGGTAGATCAAGCTGTCAAGATAAATTTTCAAGCATCGAGCATGCTGAGTTGAAGGTTTCTGAATCAGTGCAAAACAGAGGTGCACACTTTCAGTATTCATCACAAGTGCTAAATATATGAGGCAGCCTTACTTATCTGGTGGTCAAGCTCTGTATGCTATAGTTCAGAACTCAAAGTAGTGTGATTGTAAAGCTTTTTTTTTATCATTTCAGCAAATATCACTGTTATAATACCAATTAAACTAAAAATAAATGTTGTGCTTTAGTTTTATATGAAATGATCAGCCATGTTTTATATTTTTGCTTTGATCTATAGTTTAAGGTCAAAATTATTCAAATACAACATTTAAAAAATAGTTATTATTATAATAGGCATGTAGAGAAACAGAACAAAAAAAAAAATTTGTGAAAATTTAACAATAAGATCAACAAAGATCTATTAGTAAATCAACAATTATAATTACCATCACAGATATATGCTGAAAAACCCCAGGATAGTTGGTATTATTAAAGGTTATCATCTTGTTAGACTCTCAAACCAGCGCATGCCTACTTGGACAGGTACAACCTCCAAGCATGTAAAGTGTGGCTCTGTTTAATCTGTACAGCTGGAGACAGTTTGGTTTTCCCTGATTTATGATTTAATAAAAAGCTTGTTGCTGCGCTTCTCACTTCACCTGGGCTACACTTCAGCAGAGTAGGAGTAATCTATTCCTGGCTCAGCAAATGTTCTCTTACATAACAAGAAACCAGCTCCACTAAAGCAATAAAACATGAATAAAATTATACCAGTGGGGGGAAAAAAAACCAAGAGGTGAAAATGATAATTAAATAAATGCCTTGCACAGCAAATTCCGTGTTCCTTTTTTTTTAAACTAATGATAGAATTCAACAGGAAGCATCAATGCACATTAAACTGATCCTTCTTACCCCGAGACGAGTCCAGCAGCTGCATTGTTTATTTCAGCCACACTGATTTCTTTCAGCCTCTCTGTTCTGGTGGCAATAACACACTGCAGATTGTCTCACACTGAGACGAGACATGGGGGGCTGCAGATGAATGCAGCCTTGTGAGCTGAGCTACACAGACATTATGGGGCCGCTCCCTTTAGCTGTCAGCTTCTGCAGGGACTCTAGGGTCATGGAGCTACTGTAGTAAGCATCTTGAGTGACATGCGGTGTTAGACAGCCTTGTTTTTGCCTTTTGGCTGGACAAGTGTTTACAAACACACGCAAAAGCATATAAAGAAATATACAAAACATAATAACTTAGCAGAGTTAACTAAAAATATGTCTTGAAATCAAATATGGGTGCGTGGGAAAATTTCATGCTAAGTAGCAGCCTAACATTGGTCCACGGCGCTGTCGGAGCTCTGAAGAAGCTGTCCAGCATGTAAACTAACAAGTGCTGACATGTTTTACAGCTGTCAAGTTAACAAGCTAAGTGGCTTTTCCAAATGAGTGCACCCACTCCTGGCAGACTTTTATTTCTCTAGCTCCTTATAGCAATCCCAGGACTATGACACGTTTCCAAGCTTATGGGAAAATTAGAGAAACTTTAGATGAATGATAATAAGAGCTAAGATTCTCGCCTCATGCCTACATTGTTACAAAATATTAAAATATCTGTTAAATTTAGGACTAAATATGCAGTAATACTTGGAAACTCCTTTCTCAAGCAGAAAGTTGATTTGTTCTTCCACAAAACAGGCTTAATTCGAAGGTACTCGACTTTCGCTTGTTGTTTCTGAAAAAGTTTTGACACCAATCTAGGAGTCTGCCAATCCCATCAGCTCGCAGTAGAGCAATCTGTAGCTGGAGTCGTGATGTTTTAAGCAACAAGGAGGTCCAGCCTACTAAGCACACTCCATTCAGATGCAAATCAAAGACTCACACGTCTTTTTTCTGGGGAACTGAAGTCTGTTGTATACGTATAGGGACGATGGTGTTGTCGGATTTTCAGTTCCATCGGGCTCTGGTATCACTGTCAGATTGGCATATGATTACTTTTTATACAACCTAAATGAATTCCAAGTCACAATATAAACCACAGCCAATGTTTTCTATGATTTTAAGCATGATAACAAAATGTAACCAAATCTAAATTGCCGCACACAACTTTTTAACTACTAAAGTTACTTATTTTAAATTAATATTGACTCATGTGGTTTTATCTATAGAGACTTTCATCTCTCAACAACTTAAATCATATCTGGCCGTTTCTACATCCAAAAAAAAACCCAGTATAATCAAAACTGATTTTCTTATTTAAAAGTTAAAATAAACATGTTTTTGCTGGTCGGTACACTGCTGCTAAAATTCAATGTGGGAATAATTCTCTGTTGCGCATGTGTGCACATATTAGAACAATGTATGACAGTGTGTGCTGTTCTGACAGAACACCAGCTTTCAGGGACATTGTGTCCTTTTGCAAGAAACTTAAATCTGAATTGATCTAGTCTGAGGTTGGAAACTCTGAGTTTTGGCTTTTGCCAGTGTACGGCAGCCTCGCTTCTGTCAGTGATCCCCAGGGCAGCCGTGGCTACAATGTAGCTCACCACAATCAGTGTGTGTGTGGATGACTGAATTTAGTGTAAAGCGCTTTGGTCAAGTATTCGCACTTGAAAAGGCGCTATATAAGTACAGGCTATATACATGCTACGTGTTTGGCCATTTAATAGAGAAAAAATTGAGCCAACGCCTGATAGCATCCGATTTTAGCCTGTTTGGTGGTTTCCTACATGACAGAGAATTTACACAGGCATGTTCATTTAAAGTTGGAAACAATATCTATGTATAGCTTCTTTAGTTGGTCACTAGCTCTGTAAATTCAATTAAAAATAAACAGACATTTGACAGATGAAAGCAGATTTTTACACAAGTATAATAAATGGCTTGATTAACTTTAAGGCTATTTGCACATTTGATCCAGAGTTGTTCCAAAGACTCTAACTTAATTAAATTAATAAAGGAACTCATTATTATTTCTGTGCCAACAGATATCACAGAAATAATAATGAGTTCCTTTATTAATTTAAAGTCTTGATTAAAAAAAGGATTTTGAAATTTTTTATGTAAGGAATTGCTGTACAACATTGAAAAGTAAGCTTATCAAAACAAAAAACAATATATATAAAGACTAAAAGTGGTTAAAGAAAAACATGGTAGTGTGAAAGGGTAAGCATAAAGTTTTATTTTTCTTAAACTCTAGGCTGTCATTATCAGCTGAAAGGATAATTTCCAGAACAAGATCTCTGAGAAAACTGGAGCTCAAGTGACACAAGTTGGATTTGCAAGACTGAGCTACAGTCAGCATCTGTTCAGCCAGTAAGGAACTGAACCATAGAGCGATGCACTGTGTCTGTCTGTATTCATGACTCAATGCACACTGTGCTGATAGTTCTATCATATGTTGGCTCTGCAGATAATAAAACTAATTTAGGATTCATTAATTAATTAAACTGTTTTCAAGGCTGCATGCTCACTTACCCTCCTGGGACCCTTGGGTTTCATCTCATACACGTCAATTGTGTAATTAGACCGCCGCCCAAATGTGTCAAACTGGATGTTTCCTGTCATACCTGGAACTTGGACCTGCCGTGGTGCCGAGAAAACAATTATAACACCTGCTTCGAGCAAACAGCAAGAAGGCAAACTGTTTGGCAGAGAATGTTCTCGAAGGCTCAGAGTCTTTGTTCAAATTTCTAGCAGAACAATAACAACTTTATATTAACAGGAGGGAACAGAAAGAAAATGGCACTAAATAAAATCAACTACATAGCAAACAAAACTGATTAAGATATATAAATTTAGAACATGTATTAAATTAGGATAAAGTAGGCCTTTCCTATAGTCCTACCATTTTGAGTGCCCTTTCTATGTCAATGCCTTGGCTCCAAGGCACAGCGGGGTTGGCGAGGCAGTCCCCTGCACTTCCTCTGCGTGAAACATCTACTCGCTGGCGCCGAAGATAACGAAAGGCCTCCGCGATCACAAGGATGGCATCATGTGTTAGAGCTGATGTGTACTGTGAAAAAGAGCCAAAGACAGCTTTGAAGGAAGGCATTAGGCAGCAGAGAGCCAACATGATGTTACCACTACAACATAATATATACGTATTCATCCACCCATTAATTATAACCACAGGATCTGAAAGACCATCGCCTGGGAGCTTAACTGTGAGAAGAAATGAAAACGTGACTTATAAAGTTGTTTACAACTGAAATTCGTCTTTTTAGTATTATTACTCTGAAATATAATATGAAGCATTCTAACAAATATACAGGACCCACTGTAAGTCATTTAAACACAGTATAAAGCATGTCATGTTTTAGGCTTTTTTTTTTTACTACAGAAACCTGGCATTTTAACCTGACAGTCTGAAGCTGTGCAAAGAAAGCATTAACCAGAGAAGCAGCCAAGAGCCCAACTATCCCTTTTTACCTGATTAATTAAACCCAACATCTATTTCTTCAATGTATCATTAAACAATTAAATGAACCATTAAATTAGGAAATATGAAACATAATAATTAAATATCCATTTTTTAAATAAAATATTCACATTGACATTTCATTACTTCACTATGTATTTATTTATTTAGTGTTCAGTAAAATTTATGAGAGCTACTTTAAAACTTCAGAGCTGTAAGTTTAGCAGTAGAGTAGTGAATAAAAACCAACTGCAGTATCGGCAGCTATGCCTTATTGACCTTCAGCGGGGTGTTTTTGGCTTCTGGAAATTCTCTTTCATCCAAGCGCTCCCACCGCTGGAGGAACTGCTGCACGATGGGGCTGTCTGGGTTGATGATCTGGAAGCCGGTAATGTTGGCCCCACCAGAAAAGACCCCGTCCAGACTCATGTTGGAAAACCCCTGAGAGCAAAAAAAAACAAAAATCAACTGACTCATAAGAGAGGAAGAAAGTTAAAAACTCAGTTAGCTCTGACATCATGGGAACTGAGTTCCCTGTAAGGGGTTACACCTCTCTTCGCTGAATTGCATCACACTAAGAACTTCTTTTTGGTGTTTTTTATTATTTTTGTCACGCGTTGAATCTTTGTTAGATCTTACCAGGTTGGCTAGGATATAGTGGTATCCTCTGGTGTTCTTCCCTGAGGTCACCACCTTCAGTGTGCAGAAGAAGACACACAATGAGCTGCAGAATATTTACAAGATTTTCATTCACCTGAACAGAGAAAACAAAGCATTTTTCAAAACAGCATACACAGGGGCAGGTTGTGTATGTGTGAGCTATATGGGCCCATGCAGAGTGTGGAGAAACCACAATGACAGTGCTTGTTCCTTCCCATTAACTTCAACATGTAAAATAAGGTCAAGGCTCTGGCAGGCCTCCCTCTCTCTTTCTGCAGTCTGCTTCTCTGTTCTCCACCTGCCTCAGTCAAACATTAGACTTAATTAAACCTTAACATTACGAAATCACCTGTAGGAGGATGAATACTGCAAGATTTCTTCAAGCTTCAGCTCTGGTAAAAAAACAAAACAAACCCTTTCTTATCTATGTTGCAGAGTACAAAGGCTTTAAAAGACTCTCTGAGGCTGGAAAAATATTCTCCCTTTTTTTCCAGGGTGATGAAGTTGTTGCAAAAAACAGAGAAAGTACTCATCCCGCTTTAAATTTTTAACATACTGCCATGGAACTCTAACTTTATCAAAACCACATATGTGTATAAAGTACTCAAAAAATAAAAAGTAAAAACATCTAACAGAAAATTACTTTAGTAATGATATTCAAAATTATTTAACATGTGTGGTCAGAAAATTTAGATTTCTCTTATTTCATATATTGATTTATGGTATTTACTCACTGAGAAAAGTGTTTTACTCAGTCTGTTTCGCCTGCAAAGCCACACAATGCCTGAGTGAGAGGTGTTTGTAATAAAAAAGCATGATTGGCTGTAAGGAGGGTGGAGACAGAGGGCACTCTGAGTTTACTGAAGAAAACCTGCTGCTGACCAGGTGAGCTCTAAGCAGAATGTTACTGCGGTAACAGACACAGGGGTTGAGGAAACTCTATGTTGTGCTTATGTTTTTTGCTTAAAACGGAAAACTCAGAATTTCCCTGATTTCAGGTTTAAAAAAACATAAAAGTTTTCAGTAAACCTGCTTCGTAAAACGGACCGCCGTAAGTCTTTATAAACTGTTGCCTTGCACCAGAGCAATGTGCAGTGGGAGCTCCGATGTTTTCAGCAACATGGAGGTCCTTCCTCCTGAGCACATTACAAATCCAATGAAAATAGGTTGTTGCAGTCTTTTGTCATGTATGGCTGTTGTGTTAGGCCATTTGAAGCATGATGAGTGTGTTTGTGTAATTTCTTGAAAATTTGTTCCAGGACTTCCAAAGAAATTACACAAACGTACAAAAAAGTCAGCTTCCCTTAGACTAAACTGAAGCATGCTTTGTAATAAAAGACAGTTAAATTGATAGCAAAGCAGACAAATCTTAGCACCATTTGAGGACTGAACCAAAATTGTATTTTGTGAAGAGTGTCTTCTTGTTTATTTTTTTGGTTTGAACGAGCATACATAAAAAAAACGCACTTTCACGCTTCGGTTTTAACTGAAGCCCAACACCAACACACTTTTTAACATGAAAAAAAAAAAGATTTCCAGGTGATAGCTTGTTTAATGCGTGATAATCTGCAAAATAAAAGAATGTGCAACATAAAATTCCAGCAGATTAAATCCAAAAATAGGCAAGGAGTATGAATATGCTTTAGGAGGCACACTCTCACCTTCAGCGTCTTCATACCCAAGGCAGTTTGTTTCCCCCCACACACCCTAAAGCCCTTTATTTATCCTCTCCTCAGAGTCAGTCTCTAGAGGGGGAGCGTCCTTGATGCTCCAAGGCTGAACCCCCGACAGCTTTATAGCTTTGAGCAATTTCAACAATAAATCCAATTACCTCTCTTGCAGATACAAACTGATTTCATTGTGCTTCAACAGGCTCCAATTTAGAAGCTGCACCTCATAACATTTCAACACATGCACACATTTCCGGCACTTCCTCTGACTTATTGTTTTCACAGAATGTCTTCAAGAAGCTTTTGATTTGCTTTCCAGTCATGTGAGAGGAGAGTCGCAGTGACCAAAGGGACATTTAATGAAGCTGCAGCGCCTGGAGACGGGTTACATATCCTAGTGACAGTGCAGTGAGATACTTCTAAACAAGCTCTGTAAAGAGCATTCTATTTACAGAAAATAAAGCCTTATTGCTGCAAAATATTGTAAGATCAAAATAAGGTTTTTTTTTTTTGTTTCATTGTGCAAACAAAGCAGTTTTATTTAATGCTTCATGTTAGGGTCTGCAAGCTGCTACTGCTGCAATTCACTGATTAAATGGAAATCAAATGAATTTCATGCATCGTGGTTTGGTCAGTAAAAGCTGACGCTAAATCCTTGATCAATAAATGCTGACTGTATTCTTTCATGGACATTCAACTGACATTTATCACATTTTTCTTTAGCTAAAGTATGTAAGTTCAGAACAATCAATGCTTTGAATTGAGTGAAAACAAAAGTCCTTGGCAGATCATCCATACACGATCAGCACATAGAAAGGAAATAAATCAGTACTCTCATTATCCTAATGGGGACGGAGGGATAATTCATGACTTGGGTCTTCTGCTGGATCGTTTCTATGTTTGCTAACAATGAAGTGCCAATAAAAAATGTTATATACTGTGCAGGTTCTTAGGTAGTTGCAGTTAAAATTAAAATGCCAGAGAGACCCTTTTCTTAAAAATGAAAAACTGATGTATGGAAAAATAACACTGAGAAAATACTGTAGTCAGATCACTAAAATGAGCAGTTGTGGGAAATATGGTTAAAATCTTCTTAAAAATAAAACTTTTTTTTAGACTATTATATGATTTCCAAATCAGATGTTTCTGCCGATGGATTTGAGAGGAAAAAACGTCAGCTGTGATCAAACAGTGGAGCACATGTTCAGGGTGCAGCTCTGTATGTGTAGGAGCCGCTACCTGTGCCGCTATAGCGGAGTCAATAGTGCCACACAGCAGTAAAAACGCATGCAGGTGAAACAGAGCGGCATGAGGGAGTAGCAGCATGCCCAACGTAGGACTTTAGTTCCTGAAGACACTTTCGGATTTGAAATTTATCTCAAGTTTTAGAATTTGTCATGGTGAGTTTTAGGGCTAAAGCAATTAATTGGATTGATTAATTAATCGATTATTGAAATAATCATATACTAATTTAGTAATCGGTTAATCATTAAATGGAGTATAGAACATCTAAAACATGCCTTTAGCTGACAGAGCGACCCACTTAGAGCAGTAATTATATAAAAATTGTAAACGAATCAGTCTTCCAACGTTTTTAGTTGTATTGTGAACGTGATGTGCTGACATGGATGCAGCTATAAAGACGACGGAACAGGTGTTACGCCAAGTATTACCTCTCCTCTCACAAACTGATGAGTAAACGAATTGAAAATTGAACGAAAAGGGAACTTTTAAACATATTCTTAATGTTTTTATATTTCTTATACATGGATGCTATAACTGGAAGTGGTTTATTAATTTGTTAATATTTTTTTTTGTGCAGCAAAAACACACAATCTTAAGAATGAAGATGAAATTCCGTGTGATTTTGCAAACAAAAAAAAGTATTTTAAATTCTGGAGGTAGCACACACATATGAATGCCTATGGCAGAATTCAAATGAGCGATTTTAATCTTAGTGAATAACAGTGAGATCAATCTAGATTGAAAAAATGAATCACTAATATAAATATAATTGTATGTATCAGTGAAACAAGTTATGATGTCTGTATAATACAGAATGTAAGCAGAAAAGGCTTCTGGTGGAGTTTATATTTTCTTCTTGAAATAAAAAGAACAGTATTGTACTAAGGAAATGATCTTATTCAATCATACTCACTATTTCAAATTTGACATTATTAACAAAAAAAAAATCTTTATAGGGTCTAAAACAACATAATATCAAAAAGTGTAATTTTTTTCTTAAATTAAGAGCAAGTCTTTTTGATTTAAGTGTCATGACTTCAGTTTTTTTGGTTCTGTTTAAGTCTTCTTGGTGCTTCTTGGTGCTTAGTTCAACAACACTGTTTACACAGGTTAAACAGTGTTGGTGCAACACTGCTTCCCTCTCCTAAGGCAGCGGACACTTTGCCAGAACACTTTTGAGGCCGACCTATAGTCCTCCTCCATGGCCTCTCCGAACTCCTCCCAGACCAGAGTTTTTGCCTCTGCGACTGCACGAGCTGCAGTATGCTTTGCCTGCCGGTACCTGTCAGGAGTCCCACTAGCTAACAAGGCCAGGTAGGTCCCCTTCTTGAACTTGACGGCATCCCTTCATTCTAGGCGCCACCACTGGGTTCGGGGAATGCCACCACAACAGGCACCAGAGACCTTACAGCCACAGCTACGAATGACCGCCTCGACAATAGAGGAGAACATAGACCACTCTGACTCCATGTCTCCAACCTCCCTCGGGATCTGGGAGAAACTCCGGAGGTGGGAGTTAAAGACCGCACTAACAGAGAGGTCCACCAGACATTCCCAACGGACCTTCAAAACACACTTAGTCGTGCCAAGTCTGACGGGCTTCCTCCCCTGCCAGTGGATCCAGCTCACCACCAGGTGGTGATCGGTTTACAGCTCAGCCTCCCCCTTCACCGGATTCTCGGAGACACATGACCAGAAATCAGATGACTTGTCGATGCATCGGATCGTCGGCTGTTGGATCGATGGATCGATACAAAACGATTATTATTTACATCCCTAGTTCCGGTACTCTCCTTAATACCATACAAATATGTGACAGATACAGATCTATGCGATGATCTATGGATAAATAGTTTTATTCTATATAAATAAAAAGACGAAAAGCACAAAGCCAGTTCTAAGTCAAATCTATAAATTTATTGTCATGAACCCACTTTCATTAACTTATGATGTTTACAATGGAAATAAAAAGAAATACATAACAAAACTAAGACATGAAATAAAAGATCATTAATAACATAAAGAATAGATAATATAATATTGTAGCTAATTCACTCTGGTTGTGTCCAACAGAAAGGACCACTCAGACGTTTAACAGAAGCTGAACTTCTACCGCGC